TTTTGTGTGCTGTTGAGTCAGAGCTGACTCATAACGGACCCTCCAGAAGGTTTTCAGAGTCAGTAACTTGCATGGAAGGAGACCTTTCTTTGTCCCATGGAGCAGCTGGTGGATTTGAACCATATGTCATTTGATTGACAGTACAGCTTTTTACCCACTAGGCCACCAGAGCCCTTTATTGCAAACTCATGTCCTCCCAAGAGAAGCTACTGAAATGTGACTAATCTCAGTCAGTAATAGAGTAAGGGAAGCAAATATCAAAATTCCTATTTGAACTCATTTAAGCAAACAGTAAAATTACAAGAAGGCATGCTAGATTATTTCACAAAAATATTATGTTTCAGGAAGGGTAGGAGTATATCTGGACCTCAAGATCCATTCAGCCAAAGGCACCACGTGACACTGACTCTCATCGGTGCTTTTCTGTGAAATTTTCTGTATTCTTTTTTCCTCACTGAACTATGTGGTCTTGGGTGGTAATCGAGTTTTAAATCTTGAATTTTAACCACTGGTCTGACTTCCAAATTCAGATCAAATTAATTGAGCTAGGGATACATTCCAGTGCCACTTAACTATGACCAGGTCAGGAAGTGATGTAAAAACATGCCATTTTCTTAAAGAACAGAATGTAGGAAGATTCTTGGAAATGCAGTGGATTATTTTGGGCAGACAGTCTTATCCATAACCACCTGAATGGACCTAGACCAGACACACTGGTGTTAGGCTGATAAAGAAATTCTTCCAATCAGGTTTCCAAATCAGTAAATCTTTATGGGTGGAAACTGTCTTTCTTTCTCCTTCAGAGCAGTTGATGGGATCAAACTTCTAACCTTTTGGTGGTGATGGTTATTGTTAGGTGCTTTTAAGTCAAGTAGGAGTCGTAGGGACCCTATTAACAGCTGACCTGAACGCTGACCTATCCTGTGCAATCCTCATTATCTCTGTGACACATGAGAGCCCATTGCCAAAGTCACTATGTCAATCCATCTCGTTGGAGGTCTTTTTTTCCTTCACTTACCCTCCATCTTTCCTAGCATGATGTCCCTTTCCAAGGAATAATCTAGCCTAGCTATATGTCTAAAGCATGAGACATGAAGCTTTCCTTATAGGAGCACTCTGGCTGCCCTTTTCCCAAGAAATATCTATCTATTCTTTTGGCAGTCCATGGGATATTTAGCACTCAACACTCCCACCACAACTCAGAAGCTTCAATGCTTCTTCTGTCATCTTTATTCATTGTCCAGCTCTCTAATGCGTATCAAGTGTTTGAGAAGCTGATGGCCTGAATTAGGTGCACCTTAGTCTTCAAACTGACATGATTGCTGTTTAAGATTTTGGAGAGATCCTTGGCAACAGACTTGCCCAATGCAATTAACAGCCCCTGTATTTTACCTGTATGACACTAGGGCACCATGTCAGGAGAGGCACCTTCAAAATATCAGCACTTAGTCATGAAACAAGGAAAAACAACCTCAGCAAAATAAATTCATGATTACCCTAGGACTGACTTGGTATACTTTTGTTCTCAGCTATGAGAATACTTCATGACATTTTAGAAATCCATAGAAACAATTGAGTCATAACATGGACTTTGCAAAAAAGTAAAATATAATTTGCAAAACCTTAGTCTCATAAGTAAAGCTAGTAGACTATAAAGGTATCATTGTGCAGATTCCAAAAGGACATCCTTGAATGTAAGCTGAATTTCAACCCCTGTATAACCTTTCAGTCATATGCCACTGCACAATTGGTTTATTATCCTACTAAGTGTTAATTTAGCTGCTTAAATAAATGGAACTTGGAATTGATGAATGACTGTCAAGAACTGTGAAGGGTCTGAGATGTTATCTGACTTAAAAGTTAGTAAGTTTGCATACCATAGTTGCATGTGTGAAGACATGGAACTCCTGGGTCAAAGGACAATTTTTACTCATAGCTGTAGTCCTAGTAACGTCATTTACACCTAGTTCTTCCCGGTAGGGACTCAGGAAGGCCAAGTGATGTCTTTACTTACAGTAGTGAGAGAAAGTATGCAGAGTATAAGAGAAAAACCTACCTGTATAAGACTCAGACTTCTTATAGGGCCTGTTAGCAAACCTATTCAATCTGTATGCTGAGGAAATAATTTAAAAAGTGGAATTGAATGAAGAAGAATGTGGCATCAGGACTGGAACAAGACTGATTTTTCAAAAACCTGCATTATGCAGAAGACACAGCCTTGCTTCCAGAAACTGAAGACCTGAAGTGCTAACTGAAAAAAGATCAAAGACTATAGCCTTCATTATAGAATACATCTCAACATCAAAGAAATAAAAAATCTTCACCACTGGATAGATAGACATGATACATGGGGGAAAAAATTTATTGTCAGTGATTTTTGTCCTGCTTGACTCCACAACCCCCTTGCTACCAGCAGTCAGGAAATCAAAAAATATGTTGCATTGGGGTGATCTGATCCAAGCTATATCGTTATAGTTACTTGCTGTGAATCTGAAAATTGTACAGTGACTAAGGATGACAGAAGGAAAATCAATGCCTTTGAGTTGTATTGTTCAAGATGAGTACTGATTATCTCTCATGGACAGCCAAAAGAACAAATATGCCTTAGAGAAAGTGCAATGAGGGTACTCCTTGAAGACAAGGATGATCAAGCTTATCTCACTTGCTTTGGGCATGTTGTTAGAAGGGGCTGGTCCTTAGAAAAGGACATCACTCTTGGAAAGGTAAAGAAGGGTCAGTGTTAAGAGAAGACGACCTTTAACAAGAGGAATTGACAGTGTCTATAAAAATAGGCTCAAGAACATCAGAGGCAATGAGCATGACACAGGATAGGGCAGGCTTCAGATTCATTGCTCATAGGGTGCTCTGAGTTGTAGTCAACTCACTGGTCTTTAACAACAGTAACAGCAAATCTGTAAATATTTGCCTAATAGAGGTATTAGAGGTATTATTTTAATTCTGGACAGCATAGTAGTCCCCTATTCCAAAGCAAAGCAGTTACCTCTGCCTTCCAAAGGCTCCTGTTATAAAACATCATTGAAAAGATAATCAGCAGAAAAATTAATGCCATTGGTGCAAAGACTATAGACATGCAAGAGACATATGCCAAAATGACCCCTAACTGCAGGAGAAGGCAAATGGGAGGGGAAAATTTACTCATTTTTTTCTGTAGATCAAAATTTAGCAAATTCTTTCTGTAAACTGTCCAGATAGAAAATCATCTCAGCCTCACAATTACTGATTTGTCATTGTAATCACCTACCCCCTGCCCTAAAAAAAAGGTCAGCCATAGGCTGTATAAAACAAGCATAGCTCTCTTCTCCTTGTAAACTTCACAGTTTGAAGACATCTTTGATGGCTCCTGCCTTGGATGATGTGTTTTGTTGAGGCTTGTTACATAATTATCATTCTGTGAAATACTCTGGTGACTCAGCCCACAGGGAGTTGGGCTGCTGACCCAAATGCTGCACCCCTCTGGTAGTAAGAATCCACCAGCAGCTTCTTCACACAAAAATGGGCAGGCTCCTCTTATATGATTAACAGTCTTGGAATCCCAGTGCAATGTCAGCTATTAGAGGATTCCAACTCAATGGCAAGTTGAGAAAGTTTACCTCTTTCTGTTGAAACATTTTAAAAATTATAGCTATAAAACATGAAATGGGGAAAACTCTTTACTTTATGGTATAAGCAACCACAGACCATGTATTTTGTTTTTGGAGTATATGTATGTAATCTGATGTATTACATATTGAACTAAGGCTTTGCTTTGTGTCAGAGTTAACTGTAAGGCATAGTTGTCACCTATAATATTAGAGGAAACGAAACTCATTGTTTTGGGGTCTGAAGTGACTCACAGCTGACCCCCCTCCCCCTTCAGTGGATTCTGAGACTATAAATCATGTGATTTTTCTCCTCCATTGCTAGTGGTGGATTTGAGCCCCCAGAGAGGCATCGCCTTTGGATTAGCAGCGTAATTCTCTACTTCTATGCCACCAGAACTCTGTCGGGAAATTTAGCTTAATATATTTCTGAACTCATGACCTTCAGGTCTGTCCGAACTCAGGACAACCCTCAGTTGGGCTTCACAGGCTGTAAATCTTTCTGAGAAGTGATTGTTTACCTCTATCCCTTAGACTCTAACCACCAGCCTTCCCAGTTAGCAATATAACACATAATACAGTAGGTTACTTAATAGTTTTCTTAATACTCTCTTAAGTGTGTGTACAAACATGGATTAGTATTTGGACAAAAAGAATAGAATGATATATTTAAGTCGGTTCTACATGTTAGCTTATATTTTTTATAAATGGGAACTGTGGAAGCTTTAGGGAAAAAATACAAATGAAAGTTACTTCTTTTTATTCATTAACCTTAGAGTTTCATGGCCTCTAGTTTAAGGTGAAAAAAATGCAAGAAATTAAGTCTGGAAAATATAAGTATCTTAATTATTTGTATGACTGTATTTTGAAAATCAACTGAGAAACTAGCAAAAGTGATTAGAAAGTTAGCAAACTGGCCATATATAAACTACTTAATGGGGGGGGGCGAATCTTTAAAAAGTTTATATGCATTGTTTAACATTTAAGATATATGAAAAGCAGATTATTCTTACTTTACTTGGATTGTCAAAATATTTTAATACTTACTTGATTGCTATAGAAAACTTCTAATCCTGTTTTAAGGGCATTTACTTTACATTTTTATAAAATTTCTGAGTAATATCCACAGGTGTGACCACTAACTCATAGCAGACCCTCCAGTGAGTTTTCAGAGGCTGTACATCAGGATAATGCCCATCTTTTCCCGAAGACGCTGCTGGTGGATTCGAACCAGCTGCCTTTAGGTTGACACACAACTCTTTACGACTAGGCCTCCAGAGCTCTTTAATTGTTATGATACTTTAGGGGAACCAGGAGTTAAATATTGTGAATTTTTTAATCTATTCTAAGAATTAGTAAGTACATTCACTAATTCATCTTTTCCCTCCTCTTGTGCAATAGGTGAGTACTCCTGTCTTTGTGCCAATGAAAACTCATGTGCTGCTTCATCGAATGAGTGGAAAAGGACTGGCTGCCAATTATTACTTTCCAAGACAGCCTTGCATTTTTGGTGATAAGATGGTCTCAGTACAAATAATATTTAACAATACTACTGATCGGAAGATAGAAAATATTCACATAGGAGAGAAGAAACTTCCTGCAGGCATGCAGATTCATGTTTTCAATCCAATAGGTAAATATTCATTCTTATTAGAACCTTTATATTTCATAACTGAATGTATTCATCTTAAAAATAAAGTAGAATGCATATTTTATTATCTATTGGCATACTTATTTTCTCTTTCTTTGCACTTTTCAACTAAATTTTTAATATACAGTAAACAAATCTTCCCTTAGTAAATCAGGGCCAACAATGTCTATACCAGTAATTATAAAGGGGTTGGCCTGAAGAATCAAAACTGCCATCTCATTTTTTAAAATAAAATTTTAATTGTGATTTTAAGAAACATTTACAGAGAAGTTAGATTTTCTTTCATTCATTGTTGCACTTTTTATCCCTTTCCCTCCCTTTTCCCACTTCCAGTTCACTGTTTGTTTTTTTTAATGTTCATTCATTGTTGCACAGTTACCTACCCACCACCCACCACCCCTGTCCTCTTTGCAGTGGGATGTTGTCATATGTATAATGCCTAATCATTTATTCCTTTTAGACAATTCTCACCTTATCTGTTCCAATGCAATGACCATTATTTATCCACTCTTATCTTATTCTCCTCCCAACACCCCGTTGTCAGACTTGCTTAATAACAGTGGTGCTATGCAGTATTTGTCTTTTTGTGACTGAGATCTTTCACTCAGCATGATGTCTTCCAGGGTCCCCATGTTGTTTTGCAAGTTCATTGTTTTTCTGGTTCATTGTTTTTCAGTGCTGGGTAGTATTCCTTTGTATGAATATACCATAGGGGGTTTTTATGCATTTGTGTATTGATGAACGCTTGAGTTGTTTCAATCTCTTTGCTATTGTAAATAACATAGCAATACACATGGGTGTGTATATATCTGTTTGGATGGCAGTGGATTTCTTTAGGGTACATACCCAGTAATGGCATTGTTGGGTCAAATGGTATTTCTGTTTCCAACTTTCTGCAAACCCAGAAATCAGCTCATCTACCTCTATGCTCAATGGAGTTTTGACAAAGAGATTAAATCAGTTAAGAGGGAAAACTACAGCCTTTTTAACAAATGGTGTTGGCAGAATTGGAAAACTATCTGTAGAAAAAACTCCAGCAAGACCCATACCTCACACTATATACAAAAACCAACTCAAAGTAGATCAAGGACCTAGAAGTACAACCAAAGACTATACATTTTATTACAGGAAAACTTGGAAGAACTCTAGAATCCCTAAACCATCTTATTTTTAGCTTTCTTTTTTTTTTTTTTATTTTTAGCTTTCTACATCACCTTCCCCAGATGTCTTTCTAATCAGTTTCATTTTTCTGAATAATTTTTGTTTATTTATAAAATATTTATAGCAAAAAATCAATCTGCCTTTTGAATGCAGTATCTCTCTGTCCATAACCATTCACATAAAATAAACTGAAAAGTCAAAATTTAGAGAATATGCACAGCTATTTTTTTCCCTTTTCGTGCCTAGAATATAAAATACACCAGAGTATATCCACATATCCTACTCATGTTTTTAAATATTTTTAATCTCTTATCACCAGTTAAAATTAGAATATTTTTACTTTTTTTTATCTATATCCCACTTTTCTTGGGAAAAGAAACCACAATTAGGCAGTACCAATCCTTTATATCCCCATAAGCCAGCCAGCTGGTGCTGAGAAGCAGCTGCCTGTCAGGTGTAGCATTTTTTCCCCAGGTTACCCCAGTACTGGTACAACATATTCTCTTCTCACTATCAGTTATCCTATATCATCTTCCTTGTATGTTCCCCCCCTGCTTTTCTCTGTTAGATTTTCTTCCTTGTCCTTGAAGGCTATTGTGTTTATAATCCCTTTTAAACAGCTTTTCCTTTAATTACTTAGCCAAAAAGGTTTTCTCTAAAGTTATTTTGCCAAAAATTAAATGTCACAAAAATGTTTAGGTCCATCCATTCTCTCCGCCTTCTGTTAGTCAAGACAATCCTAATGTTTATTTGGAGAAAGCTACTTGCGAACCTCAATTGAAAGTGATAACAAGTTTTGTATGATAATTGTTTTCATGAATCAGTTCAGGAAAGAAAGTCATTCTTTGGGTGATACTTCTGTACATTAATAGAGAAGAATACCTAATGGATAAAATACAATAAGACTTTTATAAGATACCAAAGTAAAGAGAAATACTGTTTATGTTTATTTCAGAATTCACATAATACTGTTTTGTAATTTAGTAACTAAGATACCATTAGTGAAAGGAGCTGATACAACCCAGGGGTGACCAGGTCTGATTTCTACCCACTTTATATAGAGGGACTGAATCCCATCAATAATATACATAGTTCTAAACAAATAGCTACATGGTCAGACATGCCACCCCACGTACTCCTGTCCCTATTTCTACCACTCATCAGGTACAATGATTGTTGCAACTTGACTCACAGTTTACCTGTAGTTATTGGGGTTTATAGGGGAGTAGGGGCGGCAAAGAATATCACATGCAAGTCCAGGTTTAGTCCAGCTGTCCCAAGTCACATTAACAAGGAACAGTTCATCAGTTAGTTCAGACAGCTTCTCAGTCCCAAGTGAAAGTCTAATTTCGTGCCACAGAACAAAAAAACCCCCTCTGATTTCTTGAATCATGCTGCAGACTTTAACCCAAAGCAGTTATAAGTCAACTTTTCCTTTCATCATCAGTAGACAAAACATTGAACTGTGGCTCTAGGATTTCTCTAGTTACACCATGCCACACTTACTTCACAGTAGTGCTTCAATCTTTTCACCTTCTCTCTACCACCATCTCTTGCATTGTCTTCCCAATGCCCCAAAAATGTAGAAAATACTTTCTCATACTGATCTTAAAGCTATTAGTGGTTTGTAAGACTGTGTCCAGAGTTAAGGTTGCCTGAGACCTCCCCCCCAATGTGGGCTAATGCAATGGCTAGAAAAGCCAATCTTCAGAGGTTCTAACACCACACCATTTAAACTAGAAGAACTAATTGGTTCCTGACTACTACAATAGTCAGAATGAGAGAAAAATGTGGAATAAAACCTAAAATTACTTTGAACAGGCCAAACATGACTGGATTGCTTTAAGCTAGGGGACTCTCGAAGACTATCAGAGATAGTCACTTTGTAACTAAATAATAAATTGACTCATTAAATAATGGGTATCACCCAGAAGTACCAGGCTCCTTTAAAAAAAAACAACACCAATTTTAGCCCAAGATGTCAACAACTACTTTAAAACAAAGTTGAGAATGTAAGGAGACAAGGAATTTAGATTGTAATAGGAGGATAGAAGGCCACTATTTTTTTATTGTCTTAATTTTCATTTTATGATTTTGTGTAGGTATTTTATTTCTAAAAAAGTGATACAAGATATCAAATTGTTTCTTATACCACTTATAATCCAGCCTTTTCTTAAACATATTTTAAAAATTAATTTAGTTTAAGAAGTGTCAAGTAACTGATATATGAATTGCCTGGACATTGAAAATGTTATTCAAAGGTTAAAACACTAGAACAGTATTAACATATTCTTCAGTTGGCACAATGAGTTGATGAGTTGACCTTTTGTTGGCCTATATAGACTGGAAGAAATAAATATAATAAATTTCTGAGTATGACCTTAACACAAAATATAACTGTATACCATTTCCTCAGTACTAATAATAGGGTTTACTTTTTCTATTCTTAGGAAGATTTTTTAGCACTGTAATATTGCATTCATTTACAATTGAATGCCTTCAAGATACAGTTTTTTAATAGTATTTATTGTTGTGTTTTGTAGACATAATTGACCCATAGTTGGAGTCTATTCCAAAAGCCGTTTCCAATCACATGGGAGTTGATTGCTAAAAAAATATGCTTACAGAGTAGTATAGATCTTAATCATGCCTCAAAAATTGTCTTAAGGATGTAACAGAATAGTATTCTCATGTGTTTCTGAAATATAAGGGTGTTAAGGTATTTGTTTTGTTTAATAAAATAAAACGAAACAATACAAATCTATTGCCATAGAGTCTATTCCAGTTCATAGTGATCCTATGGATATAGTAGAACTGCCCCAGAGAGTTTCCAAGGTTGTAAATCTTTATAGAAGCAAGCTGCTGCATCTTTCTTTCATGGTGCAAGTAGTGAAGGGCTTGAACTACTGACCCTTTAATTTGCATCTGTGTACTTTAACCATTGCCCATCAGGGATCCTCTATTTAACAAACACATGTGCTAAAGAAATCTCGCATATTTTTTGTCATTAATCTGTTTTCTCTTTATCTAATACATTCTATAATTTCTGTCTGTGCCTTGCCTTTAGCATTAAATGAGATTCATCTTAAAAGGAATAGGAAAAATGCTGTTTTGTTTTTCCCAAAGAGACCAAGTAAGTGATAGATAAAAGGAAAAGAAACAATAATATTTAAACTCTACCGTATTCAGGAACAGTTACGTTAACAGTTGATAAATTTGAGCTAAGCTAAAATGTCATCAATTATTGTACAACTGCCAGAGTAGAAGGTATCCTGTATCATGTCCGTTTTCATTCAGTTGTGTAATAAGTGCCAAAACTTATTTCCAGTTGGTTTTTTTTTCAGCTGTTTCTTCATAACCATGTCAAGAATATAGCAAAGAAATCAAGAGCAGTTTCCAAATACACACACACACACACACACACACACACACACACACATATGTATGTATTTAAACTTTGGGAAACTTTATTCATTTAAAAGGCTCTAAGTATTATATAAATCCATTATATTGTTGTTGTTGATTGCCATCGAGTCGAGTTCTATGATAATCATTTTACTCCTGAAACTTTCATATGATAAAAATGTGCCATTGATTGTGAACTGTCTCTAGAATTAGCATGGCAATAAACTAAGTTCTACTAAGAGTGAAGACAGTACCAGACTATGTCAAAGAGTGCTTTCAACAAGACATCCTGAGAGTTATCATGTTGTCAACTGATATACAGGGAGACACGAGATAGAAATCTAAATCACGCATGTTGTCAGGTTTTGAAGATAGCATTTGCTAAACAATACCAAACTCCTAGTATATCTGTGGCAAAGAAGAAAATATTAATGACTCTATAAAGAATAGCCTTGAGTAAAATGACTTACCGTTGTAAATTGACAGCAACATGTACTTTTAAGAGAAATACCAGAAAAATATCTTTGTAGTTGGTTAATAAAGATCACTTGAGAAAGATTTAGGCAGCAAGTCTTGCGTTTTGAATTCTTGTTTGCCGTCAAATCAGATTTGACCCATAGCTGACCCTCCAGTAGGTTTTCAGAATAAATCTCACAGGAGGAGCCTGGAGAAGCAACCAGTAACTATAGTGTTTATAAACAATTAAATTTAAACTAGAGTCAGCAATATACCTTTGAGAACCAAGTAGCACTTTAAAGTAACCATGAAACTAGTACCTTTTTGGAATGCTTAGTCTTCATTAAGGCTATGAAACATGAACATACAATAAGCTTTTTGGGTTATTCTTTGTACCATCTATACCATCATCGCTCCCATAGTTAGTATTTACTGATAACATGTCTTTACTAAAAAGCCCTAGAATGGTGACTGTCAGATTGTTAAAGCAATGTAATTACATCTGAAAAGATACTTATAGAATAAAGTACAGAAAGGTACCATACAGATTGACTGCAGTTATTCAGAAGACTTTGAGCAAAGTAGAAATCAAAAGTGAATGGTTTCTATTTAAATATACATGCCATACCAACTCCTTCCCATTGAGTTGATTTCAACTCAAGAAATTGCCTGTGTGTCTTGGAGTAAAACTATACTATGACCAAGGAGGATAGAAGGAGAATTGATGCCTTTGAGCTGTGGTGCTGGAGAAGAGTATTGAGAATACCATGGACTGCTAGGAAAACAAACA